GCCCCCCCCCCCCTCTTCTTCCGCGGATTCGGCCCCTCCCCCTCCCCCCCCCCCCCCCTTCCCTCCCCACTCACGCACACATGTAGGAAGAGGGCGACGTGGCATTTGAGGAGGATGTGGTGACAGAGCCGTACTCGCTTCGGGCGTGGCTTCGGTACCTCAAGCACAAGCGGTCTGCAGCAGCCGAGGCTCGCGACGCGCTGTATGAGCGGGCACTGGCGGCGCTGCCAGGGAGCTACAAGATGTGGCGGCGGTATCTGACGGAGCGGGTGCAGCGAGTGCGCAGCTTTCCGGTCACGGCCGACCAGTGGGCGGCGGTGGGCAATGTGTTTGAGCGGGCGTTGGTGTTTATGCACAAGATGCCGCGGATGTGGCTCTGCTACCTCGAGTTTCTCTTTGCCTGGCACGCTGTCTCGCGAGTCCGCCCCGTCACCGACCGCGCTCTGCAGGCGCTGCCGATCACGCAGCACGCGCGGATCTGGGAACCCGTGCTCGAGTACGTGTCGGGGCTTGCGGTGCCGATTCCGGCCACGGGCGTCTCGCTCTGGCGGCGGTATCTCAACATTGCGCCTGCACGGCGCGAGGACTATGTCGAGTACCTCATGGCGGTGGAGCACTACGACGAGGCCGCCAAGGAGCTGGTTGTCCTGCTCGACACGGCCGCCAGCGACTCGGACGCCGCTGAGGCGATTACCAAGCCGCGTCACGAGCTCTGGCTCCTGCTCTGCTCGCTCATTTCCGAGCACGCGCCAGAGCTCAAGTCGATTCCGGTCGAGGCCATTCTGCGGACGGGCGTGACTCAGTTTAGCGACCAGGTCGGCACGTTGTGGACGTCGCTTGGTGACTACTTTATCCGCCTCGCCCAGTTTGACAAGGCCCGCGACGTGTACGAGGAGGGCATGGCGGCGGTGACGACCGTCCGCGACTTTACCCTTGTTTTCGACGCCTACGTCCAGTTTGAGGATGCCATGCTCTCGACCAAGCTGCAGATGCTGGATGAGGCCAGGGCAAAGGCTGAGGCGGGCGCCGGCGGTGGCAGCGGAAACGGCGCTCTCGACCGCGATCTTGTCGAGCTCGACGCCGACCTGCAGCTCCGGTTCGAGCGCTACCAACACCTTATCGACCGGCGGCCGCTCCTGGTCAACGCTGTCCTGCTCCGGCAGAACCCGTCGAATGTCCACGAGTGGCTCAAGCGGGTCGAGTTGTACAAGGCGGCGCAGGATGGAGTCAACGTTGTCGACACCTACACTCGCGCGCTCGAGGCTGTCGAGCCGGCTACAGCTGCTGGCCCGCTCCACGAGCTCTGGATTGGCTTTGCCTCGTTCTACGAGCTTGCTGGGCAAGATGCAGATGCTGCGCGCGCCATTTACGAGAGGGCTGTGGCGGCGGATGCAGCTTCGGTCGACTCGCTCGTCGCCATTTGGCTGGCCTACGCCGAGTTTGAGGGCCGGGTCGGGAGGTATGACGCCGCGCTGGCACTGCTGCAGCGGGCCACCACCATTCCCAAGCAATTTCTCTCGTCGGCGCGCCGGACTGGGCCGGCAGCAGTCTCGTACTACGACGACGGGCTCGCTCCGGCGCTCCGCCTCTTCAAGTCGTCCAAGCTCTGGGCGGCGTATGTCGACCTTGCCGAGGCGCTCGGCACGCTCGAATCGACGAAGGCCGTGTACGAGGAGATTCTCGAGCTCCGGGTCGCCACGCCCAAGCTCATTCTCAACTACGCTGGCATGCTCCTCGACGCCGAGTACTTTGAGCAGGCCTTTGCCGTCTTTGAGCGTGGCATCGAGCTCTTTGGCTACCCGCACGTTCTTCCGCTGTGGCGCGCGTACCTCACTCACTTTGTCCGGCGCTACGGCGGCTCGGCGCTGATGCGGACCCGCCAGCTGTTTACCACCGCCCTCCAGGGCGCGCCGCGGCCGTACGCCAAGGAGCTTTATCTCCAGGCCATTGCCTTTGAGGCCGAGCACGGATCGCACAAGCGCGAGTTTGACCTCTACGCCAAGGCAGTCGACGTTGTGCCGACCGCCGATGCCCAGGAGATCTACACCCGCTGGATCAAGGCGGCCGCTGGCGTCCACGGTGTCTCGGCGACTCGGCCCATCTACGAGCAGGCTATTGCCAAGCTCAATGACTCGGGCGCCCGCGCCATGTCGCTCAAGTATGCCCAGCTCGAGCTGGCCATGGGCGACCTCGTCCGCGCCCGCGCCCTCTACGCCCATGCCTCGCAGTTTTGCCCGCCCGACCGCGACAAGGCGTTCTGGGCCGAGTGGGAAAAGTTCGAGTCGAACCACGGCAACGAGGACACCTTCCGCGAGATGCTCCGCATCAAGCGCTCGGTCCGCGCCCAGTATCACTCGATTATTTCGGACGACGTCATTGCCGCCGTCGCCGCCGCCCGCAAAGACGCGCCGCCGTCGGCGCCGCCTTCGCGTAAGCGCGACCGTACCGAGCTCGACGCCGATGCGCCTGGTGCGGCCATGCCACCGCCAGCGTCCGAGGACGAGCCGGCTGCCAAGCGGCATGTCTCGCTCGCCCCCGGTGCGTCGCGGGGCATCCAGTTTGTGGCCTCGTCGGCTTCGATCGCAGGCAATGTCGACGATGGTGTGCCGGCGCCCAACCCCGACGCCATTGCCATGGACGATTCCGACGACTCCGACTCGGACGGCGACGACGGCGATGAGCCGCCGATGCCGGTCGGTTCTGTTCCCGAGGGTGTGTTCTCGTGACCGCGCCACCACAGCACGCATGCAAAGGACGATAATGAACGTTGCACACTCAGCCATGCATGTGTGTTAATCATTGGTGGCGGAAAGAGTATGGAAAGAAACTAGCCGCGCTTTATTGGAGCGCAGCCCATCGGTATTTTTTGATTGTTTCATCCGGTAGGCGAGGCAATTGCGTCGCACGGCTGCTTGTTGGGGAAAATGGTGGTGTCGAGCAGCCGCTGCATAGAGAAAAGCCACGCGAGTCATGACGGGGCGTGGGCTCGCTTCAGCGTAGAGCGCATACGCGTTGATGCGCGCGGCATCCAAAATCCAGTACAGGATGGCGTGCCATTACTTGCGCGGCCACGCCGACCGGCAAGCTCGTCCGTCGCAAGACGTCCTCGCACTCTTCCGTCCGGCAACTGTGTTCAACTCTGTCATGCTCTCCTTCCCGGTCCTCGGGGTCGTCAACGACAAGCTTTGCACCGTTCGTGCCCGCCGATCCGGAGGAGCGGCGGCACCTCGCGCGCCTCGCCCATGCTCCCAGGCGTCCGTCACCGCGACGGCAACTCGGGCATCCTTCAGGCGGGCGTCTACGTGTCGGGCGCCATCACGTGTGGGCGCGCCTCCCACCTCAAGCCTCAGGCCAAGCAGGCGTCGCGCAGCGTCGGCCGGTGACCTGGAAGTCAAACACCATCGAGTTGTTCACTTTGAGACGCGCGACAACGCGTCCGAACGACCGTACTGTTAAGGGCTAACTACGTCTGCGGCGGAGCGTCGGTGTCAAATGTGACCGAGTCCGTCGGAAGGACCGAGAACGTGAGCGAAAAGCGGTCGACGGCGGCGGCGCAGGTGACGTTGGCACACCGATAGACGTCGGTGGCAAAGAACCGTCGGAGGTAGCTGGAGCACATGGGGCAGGCCGATGGGACACCGTGGACGTAGTACTCGAGGCAGAGTGAGAGGATACGGGACCGCGGCCAGGTTCTTGCAGCCGGCACGTTAGAGAGGACCAGGAGCTGGGTCAGCTGCTCAGTGGAGAGGGTGGAGAGGACCTTGTAGGCAGCGCGCGCGCGCGGCGAGAGGGTCGAGACTTGGGTCACAGCGTTGATGGCAAAATACTCGAGCTGTGGCGCTGCAGAAATGGTCGCCGGGTTGACGGCCCGCACGTCGGCAGGCAGCATCGACGCCGAGAGCGCGACCAGGACCGGCAGGCCTATAACATGGAGGAGGAGCGACGGCGACACCATGATTCCGGTGATGTCGAGGATCTGCAGCCGGCGGCAAGATTGGACAATGTTGAGCAGCGGCTTCTGCGAGGTGAGCGAGTAGCAGCGCGAGAGACGGAGCGAGGCGAGCGAGCGGCCTAGGTCGGCGATGTGGCGCGCCACTGGCGGGGTGACTCCGAGCGAGCCGGAAAGGTCGAGCTTCTGCAGGCTGGGGCACGAGGTGATGACCCGGATGAGGTCTGCCGGCGCGTACCGCTTGGCTCCGCACAGTGTTGTTGCCGCCGACAGCGAGAGCAGACCTGGGCAGTGGGTGGCGACCGAGCTGAGGCCCTTGCCGGTGATCTGCGAGCAGAACGAGATGTCGAGCGCCTTGAGTGTGGCGCCGATGCCGACAAGCATCCTGTCCAGCGAGGCGTCGGTGACCCGGAAGAGCGACTGGATGTTGAGCTCGGTGATTTTCCAAGCCGGCGGCCCGCGGAGCTGGAGCTCGACGCGCGGGCACTTGGCCAGAAGCAGCGACGACGGGACAAACGTCGCACCGGGGAGCCTGAAGAAGCTCTCCAGCAGCTCATCGTCCAGTGCGCGCTGTGCCACAAGTGCCATGAACATGTTGCTCACAGCGAGGACGTCGCGTTCGGCGGCGGCTGGCGCCGGCCGATGAGTCTCGGTGGGAGCAAGCGAGCTGACAACCTGGTGCGCCGCGTCGCGCGACTGTGGTGTGGCCAGCGCGTCGGCGAGCGCAATCCGGGCGAGCTCACGCAGCGACGACCCTGCCGGCGCTGCCGCCGCGGGCCTGTTCAACAGGCCCGGGGCTTGTGGAAAGGCGGCTGGACTGCCTGGCCCGCTCGGCGAGCGGACCGGCGACTTGACTCCGCCAGCGCCGCCGGCAGCAGCGATCGACAGCTGCGGCGCCGACGAGAGCGCGGTAAAGCTGGGCGCGGCCGGCGAGGTAGGGCGCGGGATAGCACTGGTGTTGCGCCCGACGTCCAGGTGGTGGTGTGACTCGGACGTGCGCCGAGCCAATGGCGACTTAGCGGCGGCGGCGGCGGCTGGCGGCTTGCGCTGCTCCCCGCTCCCGGCGACTGGCGAGCTCTGGCCGTGCGCGACCGGCGGCGGCGGCGGTGGCGCAATCGGGAGCATGTCAATTAGCGAGAGAGACGACCGCGAGCTGCGGTCGAGGTTAAACACCTTGTAGTTGACGACTTCGCACTTTGACACGCCACGGTTGCCCTCGCAATACGAGTTCCAGCGGAGCTCCTCCAGCGAGACATTGCGGTACTCAGGCATGGCAGTGATGCACGTCAGGCGTTCGACGCGGCGGACCGGGGCAACCGGAACCTCGACCGGGGCGTAGGCAGCCTTGTCCGAGCCCACATCGTGCGAGCCGCGGCGCGAGGTCGGCGCGCTTCGGCCCTGGCGCTTCTTGAAATCCATCGAGGGCATGAACATGAGCGACTGGGTCGCAGCCCGCGGCGCGTTGGCCCGCCCGAACCGCATCGGCAGCGCCGATAGCGCACGGTCGACCATACCCAGGTCGGGCACACTCTGCGAGACAATCGCGAGATTGTGGGCAGACATGCCCGAGAGCACGTTGAACGACGAGCCTGACATCGGGTTGGCTTGCGAGATGCCGGCACCGCCAAGCGGGCTGCCGAGCGTACCGCCGAGCGAGCTTCCGAGCGGAGCTGCACCGAGGGACTCGAGCGACGACGAGCCAGCGGGCGGGCCGCCCGACGCCGAAGACGAGGTGCGGCGGCGCTTGGCCGGTGCCGGCGGCGACGGCGAGCTTTGCTGCGGCTGCTTCGGCGAGCCCGCCAGCAGCGGCTTGTTGTGCGGCGACGGCGAGGCCACGCCGTCGGCGTTGATGAACAGCCACTCCAGGAGGTCGTCGATACGCGGACCGGCAACCAGATACTCGTTGCCTTCGATCGAGAAGCGAAGGTGCAGGTTGGGCGTGTCGAGGTCGACCACCACGTCTGTGCGTGGGGCGCTGGGCAAGCCAAGGTGACCGGCACCTTTGAAACCACCCAGCGGACGTCCGCCGAGCTGTGGAAGCACGTTGTGCCCGTCCAGGGCAGAGGCCGGTGCCTCTGTAGGCCGGCGGTGGTCACGTCCCGGAGCGTCCAAAGTTGGCTGGCCAATATTGGACGCCGACCGCAGCAACTGGTGTGAGGACTTCATCTTCTCAGAGGAGAAGACAAAGCCATCCCGTCCAGACTCACCACCCTCGACCTTAGTACGCATGCTCATCGTATTCTCCCACTCCCTGTAGGGTGTGGCAAAGCTAAGCAAGAGTGGTGTCCCCACCTCCGTCCCACTTTGTAGCCCTCCTGGTCTTTCTCGGCCACTTCCACTGTCGTCCGCCACTCACCTTGCCTGACTGACCAGCAAACGACTTGTCCATATTGATTGATTCCTGTCAATACCCTGTCCTGTCCAATATATTGCTTCAATCGTTGATAGTTGTTTGTCCAATCAATGCATGGCTTGCCATTTCCCCCTCCCCTACCCCCCCCCCCCCCCTTCCCCCCCTTGTCATTTTTGTTTTTTTTAGCCTCCACCACCTGGTTTACCCGCTCTCCTGTCCCGCACCGGCAACCCAGAGAAAACAAAAAAATCAGCCCCCCCCCCCACTGCCGGGCTCCCCCCCTCCCCCCCCCTTCAGTCCTGGCTGGCTGCCCGCGCTTCCCCGCGCTGCCAACTCAAACTCAAACGCGAGCGCCCTCCCCCTCCCCTTCCTCCCCTCTCCCCTTTCCACTCTCTATCACTGCGCACACGCTACCACATCACTCAGACCAGTCTCGCCACTTTGCTGCATGGCGGTCCGTGGCTACCCACACGTAGCGTTGCCGCTGGCCACTGTCCTTCTCCTCGCCGCCCTCTCGGCGTACCTCTTCTCCTCGGGCTTCCTCCTCTCACGGGTCACGGTCCCCACCACTGCGAGCATCGATCAGCAGCGTCCGCCCTGGGTCCCAGCTCCGGCTCCGGCTCCGGCTCCATCGAGCGCAGACTCGAGCTCCAATACGGACTCTCGCTCGTCAGCCACAGCGGCGCCGACGGTCCACGAGCCTAAGCGGATCGTGATGGTTGTCATCGACGCCCTCCGCTACGACTTTGCCTTTCCGCCGCCGCCGTCGTCGGACGAGTTCAATCCAGCGTTCCATGGCCGGCTGCCTGTGCTGGAAGACATTGCCGGGCCTGGCGGGGCCGGATTGGCGGTGCGGCTGCAGGCGGATCCGCCGACAACCACCATGCAGCGGCTCAAGGCGCTGATGTCTGGCGGCCTGCCGGCATTCATCGAGATCGGGTCCAACTTTGACGCCCAGGCGCTTGACGAAGACTCGCTGCCGCTGCAAATGCTGGGCGGCGGGAAGCGTGTGGCGTTTATGGGCGACGACACGTGGGGTGGCCTGTTTCCGGGCCTGCTCGGCGCCGAGCCCGCGCTCTTTGACTCGTTCAACGTCAAGGATCTCGACACGGTCGACGCCGGCATCGAGGCCCGCCTCTTCCCGCTGCTGGAGCAGCCTGCAGACGGTGACGCTTACGACGCCATCATTGCGCACTTTCTCGGCGTCGATCACGCGGGCCACACCTATGGGCCGAACCATCCGCGGATGTCGGACAAGCTCGATCAGATGAATACCGATATCGCCCGCGTTGTTGCCGCCCTTGCTGACGACGACCTGCTGGTGATCCTCGGCGACCACGGCATGACGTCTGACGGTGGGCACGGCGGTGCCACGCTTCTGGAGACCGGCTCGGTTCTGGTGGCGTACTCCCCGGCACGCGCCTACTCTTGCCTGAGCACGGCGCTTCCGGCAGGCACCGTTGTTGATGCGTACCAGATCGACATGGTGCCCGCGCTGGCGACGCTGCTTGGCCTTCCGATTCCGTTTTCATCGATGGGTGTGGCCTTTGAGCCGCTCCTCTGTGCACTTCCGCTCTCCCGCCTCGAGACTGCCCGCTTTGCCAACGCGGCACAGATCTCGGGCTACCTGCACGCGTACGGCGCGACGCCGCGCGGTGCGGCGGTGGCTGCCAAGCTCTCTCCTCTCCTCGCCGAGCTCGATGCTGCGCTGGCGAGCAGCGGCGAGGGCCGGAGCCATGTGCTCCCGCCGCTGCTGCGGAGCCTCTCGGACGCTGCCCGCGATCATTTCACCACCTTTGACCTTGTGGCCATGGCCAGCGGCCTGGTGTGCGGTGTGCTGGCGCTCTGCTGGCTAATCGCCATTGCTGCGGTCGTCCGTGCACCGCAGGCCTCGTGCTCGCCGACAGCGCTCACCATCCACGCCAGCATTGCCGCTGCTGCGGTATTCTACGTTGTCTACCGAATGCCGCAGGGCATGGTGGGCGTGCCGAGCGTTGCAGACATGCTCGGCACCGCCGGGTCGGGAACGCGGATCTCGGTCGGCATCGCGGCTGGGTGCATGGCTGGCAGCCTGCTCGCAGCGTGGTACATGATGAGCGAGGTGTGCGGCGGAGTGGCCGAGCTTGCAGCCGGCATGCGGCTGGTCAACGGGCCATGGTACGGCGCCGGTGCGGTGTTTGTTGTCCTGGTTGCCGTGGCGCAGCTCTCCAACTCGTACGTTGAGGCGCTCGCGTCGGTGGTCCGGTACCTCACGCTCACCGGCGTGCTCCTCTCGTGGCGGGCCGGCGCCAACGCCTACGTCGAGCTTGGGCAGCCGCTGCTGCCGGCCAAGGCATGGACCATTCCACTCAGCTCGTTGGCCGGCCCGCCGCTGTGGCATGTTGTGCACGTGCTGTGGCTTGCAGTGACGGTGCTGGCGAGCGGGTATTCAGTGTGCGCCCCGGAGCGGGCGAGCTGCGCCGGCTCATCGTACGAGGTGCCGCTGCTGCTGCAGCTCTCAGCGCCGCTGCTAGTCGGCCTCGGCGTTCACCGAATTGTGCGTGGGCGACGCAACGAGCTCGAGCGCGGCGAGGTGGTGGCCAAGTATCTTGTGCCGGGCATCGGCGGGCTCATCTCTGCGCACTGGACCCTACACGCGCTCTCGATCCTCCCGGTCTCGAACGAATCGCCAGTCGGCATCATGGCCAACGTCGCGCTGCCGCGTGCAGTGTACGGCCTCGCCTTTGCCGCACTGGCGCTTGTGGTGGGAACGCCCAAGTTTGCTTTGACCCAGCTAGTGCCTGCGCGCCGGGAGGGCGAGGATGCGCGTCTGCTGGTGGTCGGCTTCTCGACAGCGCTTGGCTCGACGCTCCTCTGCGCGTGGGCGGTGGTGGCGCTGGTAGCGTCGATGGTTCTCGGCTTCCGCGCCGGGTGGTGGCTGCTGCTGGTTGCGGCGTGGATGGCTGCAGCAAGCAAGGCAGCGCACATGCTGTCGGGCCTCCACGCCAAGGCCAAGGGCCTGTACCGACGCAAGGGCGTGCAGATCATGCACGACCGAGCGCGCGACTCGTTTGATGGGGTCAAGAAGCGGCCGGGCCTTGTGCGGAGCGCCGGACGAGCGGCCGACGTGCCGGGGCGGTTCTTTGGCTCGACGGCAGTGCTCTGGTCGCTCGGCTTGCTGCTCTTTTACTTTGCGTCGGGCGGTCGGTACGCCTTTGCCTCGCTCCGTGTCGACGCCGCCTTTGTCGGCTTTGTTCGGCTCGACTCGCAGGTTGTGGGCGGGGCGCTTGTGGCACTGGCAACGCTCGCCGCGCCGATCTTGTTTGCACTCGGCATGCCCATGGCTGTGGTCTGGTTTGAGAGCCACAAGCTCCAGCGCGACTACCACCGCGACGCGCTCCTGCGGCGGATCCGGTACCCTCTGGCAGCCGGCGCCATGGTCCCTCTCGTCTCGCTTGTCTTTCCGAGGCTTTCCTCATGGTCGAGAACCGGCACCTGATGGCGTTCCGTGTCTTTGCGCCCAAGTTTGCCTTTGATGCGGTGCTCGCTCTCTCGGTACTGGCTATCTCGCTCTGCGCGTGGCTCCTCACCAAGCGGATTGTCCGCTACCTGGCCGACGCCGTGGCGCCGCACAGCCACACCGACGGCAGCTCTGGCGAGAACATTGTTGAGGCGGCAGCGTCTTTGTGAGGTTTCGGCGCAATGGCTAGCGCCGGACTGAAGCCAGCGGAGGGAACGAGGCGTTCTTGGAGAGAACGACTGTGGCCCGCTCGTGCGAGATGTAGCCCTTCATGTATCCCTTGTAGATAAAGTTGGCGAGCAGGCACTCGGTCTCTGCGTCGTCGGCTGACTCGCCGGCAAAGGCGAGGGCGGCGGTAAAGCTCGCGATGGGAATCTTGTTTGAGGCGACGATGGCGTAGACTTTGCGGAAGAGGTTGCGATAGGTGACGATGCGGAGCTGCTCGAGCATGAGGTACACGCCTTTGGCAATGTAGTAGCGCTGGTGGGCGGCGAGGGCGGCGTTGAACTTGGCGACGTTGCCCGAGACAACGCCGTCGGCAAGGTCGACAAACTCGTCAAGGCCGTAAGTGGCAAGGAGCGCCGGCTTGGGCGACGAGCCGAGAAGCAGCCGGACCGGGACGAGGAAGACCAGAATGCGAGCGAGGTTCCCGCGGGCGTTCGGTCGCACAGGTCAAAGGCCTCGCCGAGCAGATTCGACGCCTCCTCGTACTTGCCGTCAAAGAGAGCGAGGCGACCAGTAAAGTACTTGTACGTCACCTGCTGCGAGATGCGGAACTTGGTCATTACCTTGGCGAGCCTCGTCTCAACGCTCCGGATAACGCCCTTGCAGTTGAGGAGCAGATTGAGCTTAAAGTAGGCAAAGAAGAGCTGGTTGACCACAAAGAGCGCGCCTTCCTTGCGCGAACCCTTGAAGGCCTCGCGGGCGTTGATGAGTGCGGCAAAGATCTTGCGTAGTGGCTCGGTGCACTGCCCGAGGTACTGCTCCATCCCGCCGCCGGCCACCACGGCCTCGTCCGCCGCCATGGCGCCGCGCCGCAGCTGGGCGCACATCATCTCGACCACAGGCACGATCCAGCCCTTTTCGCTCCGCAAGATCTTGTGCAGCGCCGAGTGCGCCTTGACCAGCTCCTCGTAGCTTGCCACCGGATCGCCAGCACTCCGTGCCACTGCTGCATCCACCACGCTGCACACCAGCTCGGCGTGGACCTCCGACGGCAGATTCGCCCGGCTGATGGCTCTCTTCTGTTTCAGTTTGGTCTCATGAGTGAGTGGTGCTGATCACTTGCCATCATTTCCCCTCCCTCTCCATGCCGCGTGCCACATACCATCTTTCCAGCCGTGCGCCCATCAATACCGTCCCAGTCGCCCATTGTCAGCGACAGAGCCTCGGCCAGCCCGGGCCCGTCATTGCGGGCAAAGGCCCTCTGGATTCGGGGGGCGAATTCCTTTTCCATTCGCTGTGGTATACGTGTGTGTGTGGAGGTGGGGGGGGGGGGGTACGTGTGTGCGTGTGTGCGTGTGTGTGTGCGTGTGTATTGTGGTGGTGGTGTGGGCGAGTGCGGTGCTCGGCTTGGTTCGATGCCGGTGCTGCCAGTCATGAGAGTCATTGGTTGGCAGGCGACAAGCCGAGTCGCTCGAACTGGTTCGGTCGGCGGGCGACGTGCGCAGGGCCATACCCTTCCCTGTCGTCCCACCACCACCACCACCACCACCACCACCACCACCACCACCATCACCACCACCGCAAGCAGCCACTCGCACACCTCTCTCCACTCTCTACCTATTCCCACTCACTGCCCATCCCCACGCCATGGTCCGCGAACTCATCACCATTCAGGTCGGACAGTGCGGGAACCAGGTCGGGTGCAGGTTCTGGGACTTGGCTCTGGCCGAGCACTCCAAGGCGGCGGAAGAGGCGGGCGGAGGGCGGGAGAGAGAGAGGGCAGGGCCAGTCTATGATGATGCGCTCTCGTCGTTCTTTACAAACGTTGACTCGAGGAGTGGGAGGCGGCTGGACGTCGGGTCGCGGCTGGCGTCGCTGCGGGCGCGGGCTGTGCTGGTGGACATGGAGGAGGGCGTGGTCAACTCGATCGCCGCCTCGCCGCTGGGCGAGCTCTTTGAGGCCAAGCAGTTTATCACCGACCAGTCGGGATCGGGCAACAACTGGGCCCACGGCCACGCCATGTACGGCCCGCAGTACGCAGACGCGCTGGCCGAGTCGATCCGGGTTCAGGCCGAGGCCTGCGACTCGCTCCAATCGTTCTTTTCGCTCCACTCGATGGGTGGCGGAACTGGGTCGGGCCTTGGCACCTTTATCCTCAACCTCCTTGCTGATGAGTACCCGTCGGTCTACCGGTTCACGACTGCGGTCTTCCCGTCGCCGGATGACGATGTGGTGACTTCGCCGTACAACTCGGTCCTCGCCGCTGCGCAGCTTGTCGAGCACGCAGACTGCGTCCTCCCGCTGGAAAACGCGTCGCTACTCTCGATTCTCTCACGGATCGAGGTAGATCTTACGCCGCGTGAGCGCGCGCGCCGCAAGGCTGACTCGGCGCTCACCGACGCGCCCGACTACGCGTCAGACTCGTCGGCGAGCTCGTCGGCATATGTGGCAGGAACCGGCGGGGCGGTCAAGAAGAAAAAGGCGCGCGCCTTTGACAAGATGAACAACATTGCTGCCCGTCTCCTGCTCAACCTGACGGCATCGATGCGGTTCGAGGGCTCGCTCAACGTCGACCTCAACGAGGTGACGATGAACCTCGTCCCGTTCCCGCGCCTCCACTTTCTTCTCTCTTCGCTCACGCCGCTGTACTCGCTCGCTGATGTGGCACTTCCACCGCGGGCGCTCAATCAGATGTTTTCGGACGCCTTTGCGCCTGCTCACCAGCTGACGTCGGTCGACCCGCGTGTCGGCGCGTATCTGGCCTGCGGGCTCATGGTCCGCGGCGACGTGCTCATGTCGGACATCCGTCGCAACATCGACCGCATGAAGCCGCGCCTCAACTTTGCATACTGGAATCAAGAAGGTTGGAAAGTGGGCCTCTGCGCCACGCCGCCCATCGGCCAGAAGCGCTCACTCCTCACCCTCGCCAACCACACTGGCATGGCCACTATGTTTGACGGCCTCCGCGCCCGCTTCCTCAAGCTCTACGCCCGCAAAGTCTACATCCACCACTACACCAAGTACATCGAGCAAGAGGCGTTTACCCAGGCGCTCGAGACCGTCGAGGCCATGATCTCTGACTACTCGGCGCTCGAGTCGGCCGCCCCGCCGCCGGTCTCGTCCGGCCTGCGGGTGGCATCGACGTTTTAACGCCGGGCGAGCCGCTCACTCGCGTAGCGTGACTCACCCGAGGTACGCGCGCATGTCACGGAGCCACGCCATGTAGTCGCGGTGGACCTGCTCCTCGAGGAATGCGTTGATTCGCCCGACAAGCGCCTCGTCGACGCCGCGGGCCTCGAGGTAGTCAAGCACCCCGTCCTCGATGTCGGCCTCGTGACCGACGCTCACGCTCATCTCCTCCTGCGAGAACTCGTGGACCCGAAGCTTGCGGTCACCCTGCTGGCCGACCTTGAGCTTCTCCACCGCGTAGTCGCCCTTCTCCACCACACACTCGGCAACAAGCACGCCGCCGTTGGGCTTGGACAACTGGACCTTAAAGTTGCTCACTAGGTCCTCACCTGGATCCTCGCCCATCATCTGGCTCAGGACCTCGCCTTGCGGCGCACCGCCCTCGGCTGCAGTCATCGCCGCTCCGATGACGTCCACGTGCTCGCCATCGCCGCCAGCAGCCGCCTCTTCATCGTCAGCGAGCGCAAACTCGATCGAGAGCTCTTCGCCGGTCTCTAGCGCCTTGCGCAGTTCGTACACCGTGCTCCCGAGCACATCATCATCGTCACCACCGAGCGGCTCGTGGATGTAAAGCTCAAAGCCAGCATCCTCAAACTCCCGCTGCGTCGCATGCTCATCAAGCGACCCGCTCTCGCTCAGCTCCTTCTCCAGCGCCTCCTCCAGCGCCACGCCCGACTCACAGCGGACGCCCGTCCACGCCGGAAGCACGCCTGCTGTCGCCGCTGCCGCCCACCGCATTGTCACTGCCTGCAATGCTCCACTTCCTAGACGCAACATCTTCACCCAGTGTGACTTGTAGAGTTGTGTGTTGTGTGTCGAAGCGTATGTTGGTGTATGTGTGTGTGTGTGTGTGTGGGGGGGGGGGGGGGTGAGCTTGAGTCGGACGGGGTCGCTCTGGGACGTGTTCGTTCGTTCTCGGGCGACCCATTGAACGCGACATGGACATACCATGCCGCCTGCCAGTGGCCTGCCAGGAGCTTGTCAGTAGCCAGACCAGCACGCCTTGGGCACCTGCAAATGTGCTGCATCGGCGAATTTCATTTGCATTGTGTTGATGTGGCGGGCAAGATCGATCTGATGTAGTTTGGAGTAGTCGCGCGTTGCTGGGGTGCTTGTCTACCCCCGAGCACAGCTGCCTGAGCAGTGTCCGGATGAGGTTACCCGATGGAGCGAGAGAGAGACAGGGATCGTTGTGGGAGACGGATTAACATGCAGAATCCACCACCGCCGCTACCACCACCACCTACCACCACCGACTCTGCCTGATCAAATCACCCCCCCTCCCTGCTACTCTACCTCTGCCGCACTCACTGCAGCCAACTTTGCCCGATCCGGCCCGATCCAAGCCTCCTCCTCCTCACTCCCCCCCTCTCCCCTCCCCCCCCCTCTTCCTCCTCTTCACCCACTACCTCTCCCACCTCCATCTCGTACACATGTCAGGGCTTGTGCGCGCGGTGCGGCTGGGTGTGCGTGCCGGAGCAAACGTGGCTCGGGCCACAGGGCCCGTCCGTGGTGGCGGGACCCAGGCGCCGCGTATGGGCCGCGCCGCCCGTGGCTTGTTTGCCGGCAAGACCGTCCGCTTTGGCAACCATGTCTCCTTCTCCCAGCGCAAGTACGTTCACTTTCCCATGATAGTATGTATATGCATGGCATAGAGAGGATATATGGAGGGGGATGATGCTGTGCTGCCGCTCAGAGCGGCGAGGATCCTTCTGTGCGGCTGGCCGATGCGTCTGCTCGGGAGGAGTACTCGCCATCCCTCGACCGTGGACACGGCGCAGTAGGGGGGATGCGGACAGAGCTCACCGGGGGGCCTGTGGATGTGAGAGGACGACAGGACTCGGCGTAAGTGGGAGCCGAATGTTCAGCGGGCGTCGGCCCACTCGGAGCTGCTAGGCCGCCCGCTGCGGGCAAGGATGACCACCTACGCCCTGCGTTGCATCGACAAGGCCGGCGGCATCGACGCCTATCTCCTTGCCATGCCGGCCAAGCAACTGGCTGCCGATCCGTTTGCTGCCAAGGCCCGCGCCAACATTGTCCGCAAGCTCGAGCGCATCCTCCCCGAGGGTGCCACCCTTGGTGATGTTGCTGCCGCAGAGGCCGCCGTCGTCGCCAAGTACGCCACCCGCCGGGGCTGACTCGGCCGGTGAGACGCTGCAACATACACGCCATGCCACGCCACGCTAGCGCGCGCGACCACATGCAGCAGATGATAAAACCAACACAATCCCACGATATGATCCCATCCTACCTCCTCCCTCCCTCGGCCTCCAGTTCGGCCTCTCCCCTCTCCCTCCCCCGCTCACCATCCTCCCCGGTCCGGTCTCCCCTCCCCCTCCCCCTCCCCCCTCTACTATACCCTCACTCCCTTTCCTTTCCCTTTGATCCCCGTGTCCATCCCCCTGATCCCCATTCCCCTCCCCGATTCCCCCTCCCTCCCCCCCCCCCCCCCCCCTCCCTTCCCCACCGCCACCGCCAACCACCACCCAACGATGACGCGCGACCGACGGACGGACTGCCGTTTGCGGCGCCTCAACTTGTAGCTCTTGGAGGCTCTCCTCTTACCACCTGACATCGACGACGACCGACATGCTGTCCCGTACATGGCTGACCACTCGCACTGCTACGGCAGCTGCGCGCTATGCCTCGTCAGCAGCATCGAAACGTATGTGGCGTGTGTGTGTTGGGGGAGGTCCGGGGAGAGGGGGGGGGAGGGGGGGGAGGGGGGGTGGTTGGCTGACGGGCCAAAAACTGGAAGTGACAAAGTGCAACCCCTTGGGTGGGGGAAGGGGGGAGGGGGAGGGGGGGAGGGGGGGGAGGGAGGCAGTTGTTGGGAGAGGGCATGGAAGGGTGGTGCATACTCATGCAAGGGTGGTTGCAGCGTTTGACAAGATCCTTGTGGCCAACCGGGGAGAGATTGCCTGCCGTGTCTTTGCCTCGGCTAAGAAGCTGGGGATGAAGACGGTGGCAGTGTACTCGGAGGCTGATGCGCATGCTAAGCACACCAAGATGGCGGATGAGGCTGTGTGCGTCGGCCCTGCAGCATCGGCGGACTCGTACCTTGTTATCGACAACATTCTGGAGGCTGTGCGGATGACGGGCGCACAGGCTGTGCACCCGGGCTACGGATTCCTCTCCGAGAACGCGGCGTTCTCGCAGGCGCTGGAGGACGAGGGCGTGGCGTTTGTGGGCCCGCCTCCCGGAGCGATCACCTCGATGGGGTACAAGATCGAGTCGAAGCGGATTGCGCAGGAGGCCGGTGTGTCGACGGTCCCGGGCTTTGCCGGCGTTGTCGGCTCTGCTGAGGAGGCCGTCAAGATTGCGGCAGACATTGGGTTCCCGGTCATGGTCAAGGCCGACGCCGGCGGTGGCGGCAAGGGCATGCGTGTGGCGTGGAACGAGTCCGAGGTTGCCGAGGCGTTCCGGGCGTCGACGGAGGAGGCTGCAGGCGCGTTCAACAACGCCGACTTGCTTGTGGAGAAGTTTATCCACGAGTCGCCGCGGCACATTGAGATCCAGCTCATTGCTGACAAGCACGGCAACGCGGTGTACCTCAACGAGCGCGAGTGCTCGCTGCAGCGGCGGAACCAGAAGGTAGTGGAGGAGGCGCCGTCTGTGGTGCTCACGCCCGAGGTGCGGCGGGCCATGGGCGAACAGGCCGTGGCGCTGGCCAAGGCGGTCGACTACTCGTCGGCTGGCACGGTCGAGTTCCTTGTCGACGCCAACCTCGACTTTTACTTCCTCGAGATGAACACGCGGCTCCAGGTCGAGCACCCGGTGACCGAGCTCATCACCGGTGTCGACCTTGTGGAGGAGATGTTCCGGGTTGCTGCTGGCGAGAAGCTCTCGATCACCCAGGACGAGGTCAAGATCAATGGCTGGTCGTTCGAGTCGCGTGTCTACGCTGAGAACCCCTACCGCGACTTTCTGCCGTCGACTGGGCGGCTGACCAAGTACGTCGAGCCGGGCGCAGACGACCCCAACGTCCGTTGCGACTCGGGCATTCTCCCCGGCTCGGAGATTTCGATCTACTACGACCCGCTCATCTGCAAGCTGGTGACCCACGGCCCGACTCGCGAGGCCGCGGCCAACACCATGAAGCGTGCGCTCGACGAGTACGTCATCCGCGGCGTCGGGCACAACGTTCCGTTCCTCCGCGAGGTCTTTGAGAACGACGAGTTCAATGCCGGCAACCTGACCACCAACTTTATCCCGGAGCACTTCCCCGACGGCTTCCACGGCCACCAGCTGTCGCCGCGCGAGAAGCACGAGCTCCTGGCCTCGGCCGTTGCCGTCCACCACTCCAAGCTGGTGCGCGCCGCGTCGATCGACGTTGCCGACCAGGTCTCGTCGTTTGAGCGCCCCGACGGCGGTGACTTTGTGGTCACGATCGACGGCGAGGAGTTCCACGCCGGCATCATTCAGGGTTCGGACGACGCACCCGCAGTGGTTGTCCTCGGCGAGGCCGGCTTTGACCTCAACGCCCTCTCGGACGACGAGCTCGCCGCTGGCGCCGCCGACGGCTCGCTGCCGGTCACCACGTACCTCTTTGACTACGACTACACCCATGGCACGGATCTTCTCCGCGGCTCGCTCTCGTCGACGGCCGAGGCCCTCGCCGACGACGCCGACGCCAGCGCCGATGACTTTGCCGACGATGTCGACTCGGAGGTGATTGTCCAGGTTGTCGGCTCGGACGCCGAGACCTATCAGCTCCAGCACGTCGGCACCGTGTACGATGTCAAGATCGAGACGCCGCGCGTCCACGAGCTCCGCCAGTACCTTCCGGCCAAGCCCAAGCCTGACCTCTCCAAGTTTGTTCTTTGCCCCATGCCTGGCCAGGTCATCAACGTCCTCGTCCAGCCGGGCGAGAAGGTTGCCGCCGGCCAGCCAGTTGCCGTCATCGAGGCCATGAAGATGCAGAACCAGCTCCTTGCCGAGACTGACGGCGTTGTCAAGGCCATCAACTACGACGAGGGTGCTTCGGTGGCTGCCGACGACCTCCTCATCGAGTTTGAGTAAACGCTACCGCGTCTACGCTCTCTCTGCGCTTGGCAGTACACTCGATTTATGCGTGGTGTGCCGCGGGTGCGCTGCCTGGTGCCGGGATGACGGGGGGGACATGGTCAGACGGCGACACGTCGCTGATCATCATCATGCGCGGCCGCGACGTGGCCGACGAGGCTGAGCTCTGGACGCCCGAGCTGACACCCCACATGTCGAGCGGAAAGAGGTCATCAGTATCGACCGCGACCGAGAGTGAGAGACCCGCCGAGGCCTGGGTGGCGGTCGACGTCGTGTGGACCGAACCGTGGTCGGTGGCAGTCGAGACCTGGAGCGGACGGGTGAGCGAGCCCGAGGCCATGAAGTCGACGGCGGTGCCGACGCCGACCGACTTGGACCGCGACCGCGAGGAGAACCGCGGCGGCATAGGCCAGTCAAAGTGGGCCGTAACCGGTGGCGTGACCAGGTTTGAGAACGACGGCGGCATGGCGAGCGGAACGGTCGACGGTCCAGCGACGGAGCCGCTCACGGTGCCGATGGGCATGGTGCCGAACGAGGCGCTGCTGGTGAGGTTCATGCTTGTGACGAGCGAGACGCGGTCGCAGAGATTGCGGATCAAGGCCTCCAGCGACTCGAGCCGCTCAGAGATGGCGCGCACATCGGCAAGGGTGGCCGGCGTGGCTGGGCCGCGCTCGTCACCCGAGCCCGCGTTTGTGGTCGCTGCGCTTCCACCGCGCGAACCCATGGTTGGGGTGGTGGCATCGGCAGCAAGGGTCCGCCCGCGCTTGGTGGCACGGGCCGAGTCCTCCTCCGACGATTCGGCTGAGTTACGCCGCTTGCGGCTGGCGTCGGCGACAGTCTCGGCTGAGTTAGGGAGCGGCGGGAGCGAAAGCGGCGGCTCGGCGGCGAGCTCCAGGTTCGACCGCGAGTCCGGGTTAAGCGGGTGGTTATGGCCCCCGTAAAAGTGGACGAGAAGAAAGACAATGCACCCGGTCGGCGTTTCCTCGACGGCGTGCGGGTAGTTGGTGAGGATGTAGTCGAGAAGACCCTTGCGTCGCTCGGCAGCCCGGTTGCGCCGCTTGCGTGGCTTGCCGGAGCCAGCCACCTCGCTTTCGCCCTCGTTGGTTGGTGAGGGCTCGGCCGATGGCGGGGCGGTAATGACTGCCCGGGAGCCGCCGGCGGCTGATGCCGTCGGCACGCCCGCCTCGGCCATGAACCGTGTAAGCGGATCAACAGGCGGGCGGGCGAGGTCCGACATACACGCGCCGCGCGATGGCGGATGCGTCGTCGGGTTAGCACACACCGTCCCATCCTTTCGCATGTCAAAGTAGGTGATGCGGAGGACGGCCGGACACTTGCTCGACTTGCCTGCGCACGAGTAGACTCGCGTCGAGCATCGCCCGCGCTTGCGGTTGCGATGCCAGACCACCCGCGGGAGCATGAGGCCTTCAAAGTGATGCGCGGCTCTGCGGACAACTGCTCCGACCCGTGCCGGCGGTGCCAGGCAGTACCATTGCACGCCCTTGGCCGTCAGACTCCGGATCGTCTCGTCATTACCGGCAAGGCCTCCCGACGGCCGTCCAGCAGTCTGCATGGTTTGGCGAGACAAGGTGACGGGAGGGTGAGGAGGTAGAAGGGGGTGGGGGGGGGGGGGGGGGGCGGGGGAGGGGGGGTCGAGGGAGAGGAGGGATAAAGATAGAGTGAGAGGCAATCCTAGGCTCCCGTGGTATTGTGTGCTTCGGCTGGAAGCCGTGTGCACAAAAGGGTGGTATGCTGAGGTGGGTGTGGCGTGTTGTGCATAAAGACGTGGTGGCCACGGTGTGGTCAGCGGGCTGGATGTCGCTGAAGTGGTACCAACCTGGCTCTGTCTCGTGCCATGCTTGCATCTCCCTCCTCACTCCTTTCGCAGTCTCGATCTCATACCGCGACTTGCCCCGTCCCGAAAGCTGCAACACCATCGGATCGGTACGGCAGCCGTGAGTGTTGAGTTTTACATTAGCTTGCCACAGCTGTAGTCGCTGCTGACCCGGCCTTCAAGGAACGGGTGCGGCGGGAACAGAGGGGAGGGGGGGGGGGGCTGATTCTGGGTCTACCGACCCCCTGACGGCGGCTAGGTCGATGATGAGCCAGCTGGCGACGACTCTGCTGACGACGACCCCACCGCCGCCCGAGCCGGTGATCCATCGGGCGAGAGCGGAGGAGAGTCAGTTGCCAAGACGGTCTTCTCCCGCCCAAGGCACCACAAGCGAACGTTCTCCTTCGAGCTAAGCTCCTCAATGGCAACTGCCAAAGCTGACCTCGCCGACGAGGCATCGTCCACATTCACCAGGGTCTCGGTCACCTTTTTCCAGACCGTCCGATTGTCCTTTGAATCGCAGGAGTACAGCTTCATGACCCCGCCCGCGCCCACAACGTCGTGCCACGCGTAGCCAGTAGGGGTCTCGTTTTTGGCCACAGCATCCATGACCGACTCGACACGCATGCCGTCGGTGACCCAATTGAACCCAACCGGATACACAGCCTCTCCAGACACGCCGGCCAGATCCCAGTCGATGACGTGTGTCTTCCCGTCGGCCCCAAACACCAAGTTGGCGTCGCGGATGTCGAGGTGGGCCACTCCGTCGTTGTCCATGCATTGGAGAGTTTTGAACAGCGACACAAAGTGCGCCACCGTCACGTAAGCCACTGCAGGCACCAGACGCTGCAGGCACCAGAACGCATGACACTGCAGGCACCAGACGCATGACTAATCCGTATTCGCGGTACCAGCGTCCGTCGCTGCCCAGCACCCGCTTGCCAGGCATACCTCCGCTGTTGGCTGCAGCACGGAGATCATCGCAGGCTGCCTGCATCGCCCAAATGTCGTTGTCGGTTCCCTGCTGCTCTGATATCAGGTTCTCCAAGCTCGCCAGCAGCTCGTCCCGGTCCGACGGCAGCGCTTCTCTGCTTGCACCC